CAGCACTGGGTTGTATTTAACCCAGCATTTTTTAGAGTGTAACACACATTTAAGAAGAAATGCAGAAAAGTGGCGTTAACAGCTACAGAGTTTATAAATGAAGCATTGAACATTTGTTGAATATAACTTTTAATATCAAATTTGACTTTTTTGGTAAATTTTATATATATTGTATAAAAATATTATACAACAACACTATTATACAATAATTGTACAATCAGGTAATAGTTAAGTTCTTTACAAACTATTCTGGCATGACAGTACACAAATAAACCACAACATTTACACTGATATTATAACATTTAACAGAAGCATATGTGTGAAAGAATGTGCGCATATGTATGAATGACAGAGTGTGAACCAACCGCTGGGTCAAAACAACCCAATAGCTGGGTTTGTCCCTTTTTAACCCAGCATTTTTTAGAGTGTATCATTTGTAAAAACAAAATATTAAATGCTTGTTCTGTGTTGTTGTTTAGTAGAAATGGAGTCAAACCGCTGGGTCAAAACAACCCAATAGCTGGGTTTGTCCCTTTTTAACCCAGCATTTTTTTAGAGTGTACACTTACAGTTTGTTTCATAGTCCATGAATGATTACAGATCAGGCATCGCTGCCAATTTCCATGATCTCTTTAGCATAATTGATGTAGTCATGAAGAAGCCCCATTAGCACAGCAAAGGCATGTGACATTTTTTACATAATCCAGGGCAGCCTCCTCCTTTAAAACCACTGTTGCAACAGTTTGGGGGAAATGTCATTCTCCTCTTTTCCATATCTAGGGCTGGGCAATAAAACGATAACAAATGCTGTGTATTTTGATCATTCCAGTTCAGATAAGCTTGAAATTTTATATTTGAAATATCCACTACTTGAAAATTCTGTGGATTAGGTTTATTATTTGTGTGTAGCATCTGATTTCTTATAACTTCTCTCTGTTCCATTCTCAAATTGATAGAATGAATAAAATGGAAATCCCGTGTACTTGGGGCCCAACAGATTTCTCAGGAGAAAAGAGACATGTCCCAAAGAGAGCTCAGGGCAAAACAAGACTGGGCCAATTCTATATCGCCTCTTTCCTTGATTCAAATCCTTTGAAGGCCAAACAATAGTCATTACTTTTACATTGTCATATGTTAAAGCCATGCTTTTAAATAATCCAGTTTTAGCTTATATACTGTAACCCTTGATTGCCAGGTGCTTATAGGTTCATGTTGTCATGTTTCAGA